AAATTTTTTTGGTGATGATCAACAAATGTGCGCATTTTTTATGTAACACACGCGCCCGCACACAATTTCACACACTGTTGACAAACATTACACTACATCCAAGTTGCCAAAAAAAGATTTTATATGGATAATTGTATGTCATACAATAGATATAAAATTGAATATTTTATAAATATAAAAAATTTGTTATATATAGCTTATTAATTTTTTTGACTTTTATATTGGGCATCGTCAGATTCAAGGTATTTTTTACATAATAAACAAACATTAAAAATATATAAATTTTAATTTTTCATTTTAATTTGCACCAGACAAAAAAACTTTTTTAAAAACTTGCATTTTTCTAAAGAATATTAATTCTTTTTACTCAATTTCAGATTAGCCATTTCTTTTTTACAATTAGCAGAATACCTACCAATCCAACTTTGTATAGTATTGATTTTTGGAAGTTCATTTGGATCCAATTGTCTTTCTTTAACTAATTCGTTCAACTCATTCAACATGTCTTCAGGTGAATACCTATTACTTTTATTTGTATTTCCAGCATGAAAGTAATTTTGAAGTAAACTAGTTACCTGACTACTCATTCACGCCACCACTTTTCTTACCAAACTTTTGTTTCTCCTTCAAAGCCCATCCACAACTTAATGGGAAATTTTCAGAACTATTACAAGTAATTAATATAAAATTTTGTTATTTGAATTTATAATTAAAAATAAAAATAAAAATCTTACATATTTTCTATTTTAAGTTGGTTGCTCAATGGATTATTCATATCTAAAATTGTTTGTTATTTATTATTATTGTTTTATTATTTTATAAAATGGAGCAAATTATTTTAACTTCACCTTGTAAATTTATAGCTTCTGAATTTTTTTGGTGCTCTTTTGATAGCTCCACTCTTCTTTTCTTTGAATTAGATTCATTAGGAACAGGAACAAATGGTTCAGGTTTCAATAACTCCATGTTGTTTTTATTAAATTTAGTTGGGGGTATATTATTCCAATCTCCAATATTAGGTAATGATCGTGCTTGAATATATCCAGCATATAATCCATCTACAGGCCATCCCCATTCAAACCAATTGGATATACCACTAATTGTATTTATTTTTTTCTTATATACCTGTTTCCCTATTTGGCTCCAAATTACAAACAGATGTACCATGTAAATTTATAGATTTCTCTATATCAGATCCATTTGATATATCAAAACCTAGCCTAACATAACATTTATGGAATGAGAAATCTAATTCAAACATCAATAAAGAAACAATTGTTTAGCAATGACAATAATAATAAATATAATGAAAATGAAAAAAATATTACCTGGGCATGATGTGAATCAATGCATATTTTTGCTTCTTCTAAAAAAATCCATTTTTTTATTTCAATATCATACCAATCTTTCCATTGTGACAATATAACCATTAATTCTGAGTTATGATAATGAGGCCCATTATCTGAAAAAATAGCAACCCATTTAGGTTTATTATGAATGGTTTCAAAGACAGCATGTAATGAAGATGCTGTGAACCAAGCATCTTGACAAGTATCTGTTGACCAATGATCATATGCTGAAATATTTAGCTCTGTAGAATTTTCTTTTTTAGTAAAAAGTAATACAGAATGTAATGTCCAGCCATGTTTACCAAAGAATTCCTGTTTTGTCTCATGTGCAGACTTTGGCAAAATGCGCATCTTATAGTCAACAATTAATAATGCTCCATCATTATCTAATGTTTTTAAATTTGCTTGGAGTTGTGAATTAAGATATACTTTCCTAGTCTGGTGAGCAATATAATAAAAAAAATTTTGTTGATATTCATCAAGTAAACACTTCTGCTCTGGCAAATATGTATCTAGTTATGAAAAAATTCATAAAGTTGTGAACATTTTAAACATATTGTTGTGTGTGGCTGTGTACATATTCCAAAAGCAAAGGTTAAACAATGATTTATGCAATTGTTGTGCTGTATGGTTCCATCATTATTTATTTCTAATTCAAGCTCATATTCACGTTTATAATGCCATTTAATGATATCTATTTTAGAATATAAACAATCCTAATATAAAATTAGTAAATAAAAATTATAAATAAAAATTATAAATAAAAATTATAAATAAAAATTATAATAATAAAAATGTTTGTTTTGGCCATAGTTAAAACTCCTGAAATAAATATGAATTTAAATTCAAAAAGGTTTTTAAAGTCTGAAGTTGAAATAATCAATATTAAAATACCTGATTTGATTTATCTACTATATGTACACTTATCAATTTCTTTAAATCATCAAAAACTTCATAGCCAAATTCACAACAAATTGAACACAATCCTCCAAGATCTTCACGATATATGAATGGACCATCTTTTATTTGCTTCAAAAATGTGGTACGTTTCATACCATTATGATAAGTTGATAAATAAAAGAACTTACATTCAACATATCTTGTAATTCTTTATAAGAAAACTCTTGTGCAATTATTGACAATATATGTTGTATACCATTACTACCTTTATTATTATTTTTTAATGATTCTTTAAAACATTTCCAAAATTTTGGTATTGAGTCTTGTTGTTGGTCTGGATATAAATTTAAAAAACCATTTTCATATAAATATCTGAATGTTTCTTTATTTTTGGATTCATCTTCAGCTCTAGTCCAAAATTCAAACTTAAAAATAGTGTTTATTAAATAATAATCCAAATAAAAATAAATATAATAATAAATGAATAATCAACAAATAAAATTGTACTTACATATGATTCTTTTCTTGGGAAAGGTGTTATATTTTTACAACTAGTTGATCTCAACATTGGATGCCAAGCTTCAATTTCATGTTTACTAAATTTATGTCCTGGTGGATATATTTCTGATAATTTTGTATATAATTCAATTACTTCACTCTTTTGATCTAACCAAGTTAAAAAAAGATCATACCAATTAACACTTGAAATTGTTTTTTTTAAGATGATGATTATATAATTTTTCCATTATTTCTAAATTGGCCCAATCAGAAGGTATACATATAAGAGGTTTATTATTAGATAAAATTCTCTGTATATTAGAATTTGTCAAACTAAATAGTTGATCACCAGTATACTTGGATAAAATTCCAATATGTTGCCAAACTGCTGTGGGAGTATTTTCAACAAAACTGCCCACTTCAATTTATTCCAAATCTCAACATAACATAATCCATTTGATATTTTTTGGATAAAATTGCAATTAGTTCTCTTGTATGCATATGAAAATGACAATAAATAGCCATCACCTGCTCAGCATAATGGACATACTTATAATTGGTAATGACTTTCATTGATCATATTTTGATTTTATCACGCAAAAAAAAAAATTTGATTGGCCCAAATAAATTACACAAAATTTTAAAGAAAAATTTTATTTTTTAATGAAGCTTCAGCTAATAAATTCTTGCGTGTATCTTGCTAACCCAACATTTAACCAATTATAAAAAAGTGTGCAAGTTTTATCAAGTATATATTGGAAGAAAATTTTTATTTATCTTATTTGAGGCGTGGACAATAGAAACAAGGCCAACATCTATCAATCATAAATAACGTTTTTTATTAGTGTGTACTTATCTAATATGTAAAAAATAAAAAAAATAATACATTTACGACTACCTTTTGTGTCTCAAGTCAATCATACAGCATCCATGTATAAATAACGTTTTTTATTAGTATGTACTTTCCGATATGTAATAAATAAATAAAAAAAAATATATGTATACATTTATGACTACCTTTTATAAATAACGTTTTTTATTAGTGTATTTATTATCATCCCAATATGTAATAAATAATATGTACTAACACAATTACCTTTATGTTTAAAGAAATAAATGAAAAAGAATAAGTATTAATTTTTGCACACCTTGGTAAAAAATATGTATACTTTTTGGAATTTTTACCTCTTATTTAGATCTTGCAATCTGCTGGATTAACTGGGTTATTTTTAACCAAG